AATCATTCCTAGGTCTCGTAGGTTACTATCGCAGATTTATTAAGGACTTTGCAAAAATTACCCGTCCAATGACACTTTGTCTTAAGAAAGAAGCTAAAGTCGTTCACACACCCGAATTTATAAAATCTTTCGAACATTGTAAAGATCTCCTAGTAAATGCACCCATACTCTCATACCCCGATTTCGAAAAATCTTTCATTGTCACTACCGATGCCTCGAATCAAGCTGTAGGTTGTGTTTTATCTCAAGGTATCATTCCTAATGATAAACCAGTCGCTTATGCTAGTCGCACTCTAAACGAAACTGAAACTCGATATACTACTACCGAAAAAGAACTTTAGGCTATTGTATATGCTTGCAAACAATTTAGACCTTACATATTTGGACGTAAATTTTATATATATACAGATCATCGCCCTCTAGTTTGGTTGATGAATGCTAAAGATGTTAATAGCAGACTTGTACGTTGGCGACTCAAATTAATGGACTATCAATATGAAATCATATATAAAAAAGGAAAATGTAATACTAATGCCGATGCATTGTCACGTATTCATTAAATGCAGTAGAATCAGCTAGTGTCATAAATAACCCAGGTGACATTGATCAGGATATTCAAGATTATTTAAATCAGTTATTTGCCAATAAACAATCTCTCCCAGATTTGGAAGAAGATACCTTAGCATTGTTAAATTCAGATCCCGGAAATCCTATTACGGCTTCACAACCATTAGATTCTTCAAGAAAAATACACATTTTACAAGATATTCAAGTAGCTCCACCGAATAACATACAAAATAGTGTATCGCATGAATCTCCTAAAGACAGCGAAACCGAGACAGCCCACACTTGTAACGCGGAAAATAATTTCAATGATGGTATTCCTATATTAGATGAAATAATCAATAATAAGGTAACCCAAGTTATCGTTTCTAAAAATCCACACAATCAAACAGATGTCAAACAAGAAACCTTTGATAATCATAAAATTCTTTATGTAAAAATTCCAAATTCTGCTTCAGCCATAAATCAATTTCTTAGAGAATACACATCCAATGACAGAACATTTTATCTGTACTTCCATGAGGATTCACTTTATACTATGTTTAATAGAGTATTCATAGATAAATTCGATAGCAATAAATTAAAATTAGTTAAATGTACAAAATTAATCAATACTGTCAAAGAAAAGGATGAGCAACTTATGCTGATTAAATTTCAACATAAAGGCAAGAGTAATCACAGAGGAATCAATGAAACATTAGAAAAAATCAAACGAAATTACGAGTATTATTGGCCCCGCATGAAGTCCGATATCACACATTTTATTAACGATTGTGTAATTTACCAAAAAGCCAAATATTCTAGAAATCCCCCATATATTCCACTGGTATTGACAGAAAGCATAGGAAAACCCTTCCAATTATTACATGCTGATGTATTTACATTCAATAGTCAACATTTTCTGACGATTATTGATGCTTTTTCCAAATTAGGACAAGCAGTTCCAATCGAAGCAAAGACCTCTGTCGAAATTTGTAGAGCATTCTTACATTATTTTTCATATTATGGTCTACCTGAGCGTATTACTCTTGATAATGGTACAGAATTTAAAAATGAGACTGTTAGAGAACTCTTGAACTGTCATAAAATCGATGTGCATTTTACTACACCTTTACATCACGAATCAAATTCACCAATAGAAAGATTCCATTCATCACTAATTGAGCATCTCAGAATACTTTTACAAAAATTTCCAAAAGAAACGACCACTAACCTTATCAATTACGCTTTAATAGCATATAACAGTTCATTACATTCTGCTACAAAATTCACGCCATTTGAATTGACTTTTGGGCACACTATTCCCAGAGATCCTTCGGACCTTATCGAAACTACTTTTTACTCTGACTATGCTTCAAATCATAAAGATAAAATGAAACATCTATACCAGCGTATTTCAAACGATTTGCAGGAAAATAAAGCCAAAGTACTCGAAAAACGTAACATTCATGGTAGCTCACAATATCAGTTCAAAGTAGGGCAAGTAGTCTATAAAGCCAATCGTAGAAGAAATAAAAAAGACAACAAATTTAAAGGTCCATTTGAGTTAGTAGAAATCTTAGAACATAACAAAGCAAAAATCAAAAATAAGTTCACAAATAAAATAGAAATAATACATATGAAGGAACTCAAAGTCCCTTCTATTTCAGGATCCTCGCCTGCAGCGGAAGATCGACAACAGAACTAGTATGTCCCAAATTCCACGACCTCAGCGACAATCCTGGCCTCCTTCCCTTAAAATTAGGAAACGCCCAGAATATTGCTGATTATTGGTCATTCATACACAAATATTTGATATTTAATATCTAGCTGAACAATTCTCATAATTGCAAGTAATTTTTGGACAATTGAAAATGGAAATTGAAAATTCCACTTCCTATTTTACAGAAATAAAAAATTATTGTTATCTAACATTATCATTAGAATCAAAGATTCACGATCAATTGTTACAGATAAATCCAGTTTATAATAGAAACAGAAAAGAGGATTAATCAATGGGCTTGGTTCGATCATAAAAATTATCACAGGAAATTTAGATGAATCAGATGCGAAACGTTATGATCAAGCATTATTATCATTATCGAAAAATCAAGAGAGAATCAAAACTTTAGTCCAGGAACAAGTTACAATTATCAGTCAGGCTCTAGATGTTTTTGAGCAAACATCGAAAAATATTACAAAAAACCAATTAATTTTAGAATCACGTATCCTGCAATTTCAGAAATCCCTCATGGCTCTTCAGACAAAAGATTTACACTTAGAAAACGAACTTTTTATACAAATTGTAATTTCACAAATATTAACTTCATTTCGATATGTCCACGATGTTTTAGAAAAATTAGAGGTTGCAATATCTTTTGCAAAACTTAATACATTCCATAATTCTATATTGAAACCTCATTCTAGTCGAAATAAAGCTTATCTCAGAACATTTACATGATGTCAAACTACCATTTGAACCTGCTTTAGAAAACATTTTGCTTTTTGAGAAAATATTAGAAATCAAAAGTTATAGTAAGGGCAATCAAGTTATTTTCATTCTGGAAATTCCTTTAGTAGAGGTCGATAGATATAATTATTATCACCTATACCCATTACCTACGACGGCATCCAATCAATTTAAAGTCATATTTCCTTACTGAAACTACCTAATCCTAAGTGAGCACACTTATAGCCTTTTTGACAACAACTGCAAAGAAATTCAGCCTGAACAATATGTTTGCCACGAGAAGAACCCAGTAAAGCTAAGCAAAGGGAATCCATGTGAAGTTCAAATGTTACTGTATGAAAAGAATATTACTAACTGTTTTCAAATGCCGATACAAGTACAACAAGAAAAAGTCAAAAAGCTAGATGCAGAATACTGGATGTTAGTTATTCCCAACAGAAAAATTGTCACATATAGGTGTGGTGAAAACCAAGACAAAATTCCACTTCGAGGAACATATCTACTAGAAAATTGCCAAAATTGCGAAGTCTATATGGGTTCAACTGTTATAAAAAGTCGCCGGAACCCAAAATCACAGTTTAAGTATCTGGCACTACCAAAGCTATTTTTTGAAGGATTCAAGAAAACGCAAACTGCCCATTTGGAACCTCTTCAACTAGAATCCATTAACTTCGAAGAAACGAACAACATTAGAGCCGCCCTGGATTTGAACAAGCACAGACTCCAAGAAATCCCCGATAATCCAATTATTCATCTTCAATCAGTAAGCATCTGGACCATCTTACTGTATTCCCTAATTGCCATCATCTGTGGCTACCTCACTGTTAAATCCTACTTTAAAAGAAAACAAGCCGAGAAGAAGAAAGAAAATAGAAAAACCGAAATTATTGTTTGAAGCTAAGAACGATAAAGATAGAAGATAAGTTATAGAAGATAAACGTTAAGGAGAAAGAAGATAGAAATTATCCAAGAAGAACGAAAACTTTCAAACTTCACCGTTGGTTCAGTTTCTAAGGCGGGAGGAGTTACAGACACCAGATATGCATAATTGTAGAATTGCATTTCACATAGCTTGCACTTTTTACAGAGTTTATTAATATACCGTAATTTGCATTGTATTCAGTTCTAGCTATTTCTCGGTCCGTTTCACATCAATTTTGTACGTTTTGAAAATAAAAGTTTTTCAAAAACTTATTTCGGAGTTGTACTTCCGTAAGTCGCGCAACCAGTAAGGAAAAAAGATCGCTATTGCAATTTTTCGGTATCGAGCAAAGCGTCTGTTTCGCAAGTGCGGATTTGGTTGTTTATGTTACAGACGTTTGTCTCCTAGTCAGAGCTCTTATTGATAGCTTTTTCTGTCCATTCTCGGCTCTTCAACGTCCTTCACAAACTGTGCTAAAACTAGATTCTTCCTTGTTTACATAGTTTGAGGTTGGAAGTTGAAATCATATTTTATCGATTCAAGTCACAATGATTTTTGGTTCAGGTACTTAGTTTAAATAAATAACATGCCGAAAATTGTAATCAAAACATCTAAGTAGCAAGAATTGATAAGTCCTCCCAAATGGTCAGCAGGCACACAGCGAATTCAACTTTTGTCGCCTCCACCATAAATTATGAGTGTCCTTTCAATAAGGGTGGAAGTGACAGGACAAAAATTGACGAATGTAACATCAGAATCTTATACATGTCGTCGCCTTCCGGAGAAAATCACTTATCTCCCCAAAGGCAAATTTTTCAGGGGAGACAAAAAACTTTCCTGTAGATTGAGTTTATGTAATAATTTATCGAAATTTATACTAATTCTTGGAAAAACTGCCACACATCGATGAAAACAAAAAAAAATGTGCTAAGTATAAAACTATGTTTCTTTAAGGAGTTACGCAATTTTTGTCCTTATGGTAGGGGATGTACGTATTTTTCCAGAAAAACCTAAACTTAGGTATTATATTATGTATTTACATAGAACATAGTTTATAGTGAAAAATTAATTTTCCTCGTAGGGAAGATTATCATAGAAGGTATGGTAATCTTGAAGTAGAGTTTTCTTCAAAATTTGGAGATGATCATATTTTTCCTTTTTTATCTTCCTTCTTTCTTGATACATGTTTGGTAAGCTCTGTGTTGGTCTCGGTGGTGACAGCTTAACTCTCTGATTTAGTTGATCCCAGGGGTCAGTGTGCCTCAATTTGTAGTAGATCTTTCCAGATGGGTCATACTTTAAAGCACGTATTTTAACTACTGTATCTCTACCGGGTCGAATGGATTTGTAGTAATTAAGAGTATCGAATTTCTTAAAGAAGCTTAATGTAATGTATCTTACATTGTAAGGCTTTGGATTTTGTCTCGCAATCACACAGGTATGCACATAATCAGCAGGTATATTGATTTTACGGTTCCGAATCTTCTTCTCAATGCAAGAGTGCATTGAGTCGACTTCCATTTGCGTATGCCCTTTTTCGAGATATTTTTGGATGATAGTGATCTTATGGAGCATTGCGATGTTAACCAAAGTATTCGCCAGGATAGAGTTTCGATTCTGCCCTGTACAGCCGTCACTATATAGGATTATTTCTTTTTGCTCTTCCTGTAGTGAAGGAATTATAGTGTTCTCTATAAAGTCAGCCAATAGAGATGAGAATTCGTTTGACGTAAGGCCACCTTCCGTCTCGTTCCATAAAAAACAGTATCCGTCTTGGGTTTTTAAGTTATACAATGTAAAATTGAGAACTGCTTGCAAATCCATCGTAAAGACTGAAGCAGATGACTTCTTATCTTTCTCTTTTTCTTCTCTAGCTTCTTTTTTCATTACCTGATGTAAATCGTATTCTTCCTCTGGAAGATTTTTTGCATCGTATGCAACACAGGTGTCACACAGGTCCTTTTTGGGAACATATAGAGAGATTTCGTTTATTGAACTCTTTGAAAAAGATCGTTCGTGATACGGGTTCATCACCGCTGTCAGGACAATGATGACATTTGTAAAAGCCATACAACTGATTTGTTGAAGCCCACATCGGTTCCAAATACAGTTTGCTGCTTGATGCTCGGCAATAGTGTGATTCGACTTTCGGTAATGAATCGAAAAACTGGTTTAGTGCCTCGTATCTTCCTCCATACATTTTACTCCTACTCTGTTTTCTTTTGTCATTTAGTCTCTTTTCATTTTCTTCCAATTTGTCACTTTTCGTCCAGTTTAATACTGTAGATTCCTTCATGCTCATAGTATTTAGGAACATTTTCTTGCAGACTCTTAATTCTTTGTTCTCGACTTTAAGGTAGTACTTTAGTGAATAGTTTCTTCGACTATTTTCATTGGCTCCCCTTCTTCTTTTTACATTTTCAATTTCCACCAAACTCTGGATATAAATTTTTCTCTCTTGCCAATGCATGTGGTTCCAAAATATATTGAATATATATTCTCGGTTTTCCTGAGTCAATTTTCTACACTCTATTTTACTAGATTTAGTTGTTATCTTACAGTCGCAAACATTAGATAACATTTTCTTGTTTCGAGGAATGTCATATTTCCATTTTCCAAAAACCTTCATTTTGCCTTTATATGCTAAGCCCTTTTCGCGGTTCGCTTGATTTCTAATTTTTAACCACATTGATTGGTCAAGATTATGCCGCTTAGCCCTTTTTCTCTGGAACAACTCTTCTGTTTGTTCTTCCATTCCATATGCTGCGTTCTCTTTTTCTTCTTCCATCAAATCAACTCTATTTTCATTTGATGGCGTCGTGTCATATGCAGCGTTCTCATTTTCCCCTTCAACCAAATTAACTTCTTCGTTGGACTGTAATGTGTCACATTGTGTGCTGCCAGACTGTCCTATGCCGTCAATTAGTGCTGGTACCGATTGGTGAAATTCCTGTATAGCTGAATCAAACAGATCATGTGTTGGTTGGGGGTAAACTACATCCTCGAGGGTGGCCTGGTTCCACAATACTATTTTCTGCACAGCTGATCAGATTACATATTCCGTTATCTCCAACCTCATAGATTCCCTCTCTTGCCATATCTAATATTTTCCTGGCTCTGCTAGACATTCTGAATGATCTGTGGACAAAAGATAATCACAATGTTGGGAATAAGGATTTTTAACCTCATAAAAGACGTGGTTAATCTATCTTGATTTTTCTGGGCAACAATCAAAACCATAGGTGGGAAGGACTTTAGTGAGGCTTCCACATCCTTTTTCAAATAATAGAATGACGATTTAAAATTAATTTGAAATATAAAAACCCTCCACGGCTGCCTTTATAAAAACACATTTGAATTAAGACATGACTATGGATCATTTTTCATCAATCTATTTACCTGGTTTCTTGATTTCTTTAATTCATGTAGTTCATTATGCGGCAGCCGAAATGTCAGTAAACTATTTTAGACAGCTATTGTGGTTTGATAAAAAACAAATATTAGAAAACAAAATGATAATCTATGAACTTATTCTAGTGGATTGTACGCAAACTATGTATCTCCCTAAAATGACATCTGTAGAGAAATATGGAAGGTTATGGAAAACTACGTATCTCCAGTGTCATGCACAATTGCATTTATAAAGATTATGATCGAATGCTGAATATTTAAAACGCTGATATAACATATTTGTAGTACTTACCATCCACCTTGCAAAAAACAGCTCTCCAAAAAGTTAATTAGACACGTTAAGAATAACAAAATGTGCGGACTGACAAGTACTGACACGCAAACCGCACTATTCCTATAGGGACTGGGCGCTTACGCATTTTTCGCGGGACACTAAACAGTATCAGGAGATACGTATATTGCGTTGACGAGTTTTAACGTGTAAATAATAGTTTCGGGACTTAGATATTTTGTGCACGGAGAAGTTACCTTTAGAACTAAAAGATGGCATGAAAATCTAATTTTTGGTAAAATGTGGAGTTACGTGATTTTCTCCGGAAGGCGACGATGTATAAGTAAAAGTTTACTGAAACATCGGTGGCTTCATTCAGTCATTTTGAATTCTGTCCTTAGCAAAACGCCATCAAGGTGACCGAAACGTCAGTAAACTTTTACTTCTGCATCTATAGTTTGCTTTAGCGGCCAGCAGAACACAGAGACTGATAAAAAGTGTGCAGGGTATGATAATGAACTTATTTAAAAATATTTAACCTCTGACGTACACGAATTTGGGCATAGGACAAAGATTTATTTGTGTTCATTCAATAACAGATTATTTTTCATTCTCCATAATCTGGATCACAAGGTAAATAAATGTTTTGAGGGAAGACTATCTGAAAAAATGTTTATCACGAAAATAAAATTATTTTTGTAACCTGATAATCCGGAGCCTACTTAGCACTGAGTTGGTTTCATAAAATTTGGAGAGCATACCGTTGATCAAACTATCCAATTTTTAAATTACGATCTATTGGATAAAAGAAGGAAAACGTGTGAAAATACCGCCAACCGTTCGAGCTACCAGTTATTATTTTGCCGTAGAAAACTTTCTGGGGAGATCAGAGTCAAAAGTCGTTTTCTATTTTTCCAAGTTGCCGGATTAGGTATTTATATTTTTTAGCGATTTTTATTTCCGTCAAACCCTCGTAAAACTAGATATTTTCGCTATGTCGTAATGCAAATACGAACGTTTGAGGTACGTGAGAAACATTCAGACGATATTTGACTATATTTTTTCAATTTCACTTCCATGACAAATCATGTAAATATGTTATATACCCTGCTTACCATTTCCTCTATTCCGTAGCTTAATCCCAAATTCGATTACGCTTTTGTGCCTGCAGGGAGATTCTAATTTAAACCCAAAGACGCCGAAATGGTGGCAGCTTAAAATTAAAACGGTAAACTGGATGATATCGGAACGCTGCCTGATCCCTGTCTCATTAATCTTCAATCTTTTTATCCACCACACCACCGATATCTACGATATGATGATGCAAGATCAATGCCTCCATAGGCGTGGAATGGAAGTTATATCGTTATACGGAACATCCAGAGAGCTAATGGACAGAATTTGGATAAGATTTTGCGAGTCAAGTTATAGGTATAGTTCAATATCACCCTTATACATAAAAGTAAGAGTTTGATACATGCAGCACAGCAAAATGTGTTCCTTACTTTGTAGATGCTGACTGTCTTAAGCAATTCAGGTACACGCTCAATATAGGGAAGTGAAGCGAAGAGAAGCGAATAGAAGGGGAGCGAAGATAATGGGAGCGAAGAGAAGGGAAGCTAAGAGAAGGGAAGCGAAGGTAATGCAAGCGAAGAGAAGGTAAGCGAAGAGAAGGTAAGCGAAGAGAAGGGAAGCGAAGGGACGGAAAGGGAAGAGATTGGAAGCGAAGAGAAGGGACAAGAAGAGAAGGGAAGTGAAGAGAAGGGAATCGGAGAGAGGAAAAGCGCAGAGAAGGTAGGCGAATAGATTGGAAGCGATGATAAGGAAAGCGATGCGGAGGGAAGCGAAGAGAAGGGGAGCAAAACTCTTCCGCTGCGTTCCGTTGCACATAATCAAGTGACAGCTCGCACTCTGGAGGAACACGAAAGGAAGCTAAGGACAAATGCCGCGGTTCTGTTCGTGTCGCTTCTCTTCAATATGTTTGCACATTTAGACTGCAACTTCTGTCTACCATCAATTCTGTGTGATTAGTGGCTTGTTTATAGGCCACTTATTCTGTGATTGTCTTGTTGATTTATTTCTACATTTCTCTGGCCGTTATATTAAAAACCACAAGTATAGAAAAATGACTTAAAACGTTTTCGAATTATAGTTAACATATTTTTTTGATCTTTCATAACAAGAAAAATCCACGATGCCCATTTCCGTTGGTTTGTCAGGTCATAGTAGAAAATGTTACCTTACTGTTGAAGATTCATGCAGAGGTAGCCAAGTTATGAGCAAGAAGACAAACACACAAAGCTTTGAAATTGAGTTGCGCATATCGTGATGAAGTTAAGTGACATTCATGTATCGAGGGTTATCAAATTGTACGTATGTGAAATTTAAAAATAGGATTATACGAATTCCTGGAGTACTTATTGTTAGCGAATCTACTCCACATGATTTTGTTGGATCATTTATCAATAGGCACAACCACTTGTCGCGATATTTGGATGTTGCTACCACACACTGTGTGGTACTTATAGTATTTTATAAGTGCTAACGAGGGCAGTTTTTTCCCAGTACATGAAACACATTTCTAGTTTTAATCTTTGGGATACAAGGCACAAGGTGTTTAAAGATGCATTTTCTGAAACAGCCGAAACAAATATCGAAACGCCGACTTTTTGAGAAAACACGTCTTGCACTATCACCCCAAAATCCAAAGATTAAGACTAGCAACATAGTCGACATATGCTTTTCCACAACAAAACCATGTGTATAGTGGAGAACTGTTTTGGTTTTTGTTGTATTAGTTGATTCTAGATACAAAATATGAAAAAACGCTGTCTTTTTCTGTTTTTTAAAGTATGCGTTCGGCGTCTAGGACTGGTTTCAATAGAAATATCTGTAGATCCGAAAAACGTCCAGCAAAATGGACCGTTATGATTCTGCGAAGTTGTGATTTCAGAACCTTTGTGATTGGCTACGTTATATATATATATATATATATATATATATATATATATATATATATACTCAACATTGTTACCTATAATATGTTAGTATGTTAATGAGTTTCACATCTGTAGTTTAGTAGGCTGAGATGCAAAGTGGCATTGCCAACCCCCAGCCTTTTGGGGTATTGTATGTTTTGTATTTGTTATGCATACACTCCAATAAACATTATTATATTATTATTATTATCATAAATTGCTTAATAACGTTCCGCCTCTGTAGCAAACTTTTCGCGGTACACCCTAAGGCCTAATTACGAAATTCAAGTTATTTCGTGTAAGTTTATCTTCAGATTTTTGTAAATTCCATCGGCATACTTAATTGGTGTGCTTCGGCATACCTCGTCAATAGACGTGATGGTTATCTATATTCCCGATACATACAGTCCGGGATTAAGTCAGCAACTCATAGACCGCGGGCTTTCTTCCGGATTAGAAGTTTGGGTCCCGTGCATCGTTGACAAAACTTGCAGCATCAAAACGACAGTGGTGCACCTCGTTTAGAATATTCAAGCCAATCGGAGCTGAAATTATTGGTAATCCGTTGAGCATACTGCTTTAGATAAAAAAACTCTACTCTAAACACATACCAAGCTGCCGAATAGGACAGAAAATATGCAGTAACCTGTAGGTGGTAGACGGTTTCTGACTGTCGAACGCAGAGGTACCACCCGGCGGATTTCGTAGGCGAGGCCAGAATGTGTGCATGTTGCGCTTGAACCGAAAACTCATTCCAACTAGTTTGCTTCTTTTAGCGGTATCTTTTGGTGCTAATCGAAGCCTCGCTACACAAAACACGCATAGCATTGAAGCACGCTGATCACCCAGTAATCATTCCTCTGTCTAGAAAACAGAAACCTTCCATTGGTCCTTGCCTAACAGCTACCAAAGCGGTGCTCATGTGCCTCGATGAAAATACTAGAGAGAGTTGTTTGTGCGAGCGAATTTTCGTTTCATATTTCTTATTTGAGTCAGAAAAAACAAAGTCAGATGCGATTAGTATATTTTAAACACTGGCGACCGACGCCAAAATTTAGGTTGCCATATATTGCAGCAGGTTATTTTGGCTACGGTTGCTGGCGACGTCGCCATGGCGTCCTGGTGAGAGAGGGCTGTGAGGGCTTCTAAGACCCAATACTGTCAGGACTGTCCACCCTATAAGGCTTTAAGCATCCCACAAACCGGCGCGAAATAATCGCGGCGAAGTATTCGCAACGAAATTCAGAGCGAAATTCGCAATCTGTTTCGCCTGTTTATTCATACCAAAGCGTCTTATTCGCTCCGCGAACGTGAAGGTTTCGACAGGTTGCGTGCATTTTATTTTTGCCTTTTGCAATGAGCTCGTCTTCAGAAGAAGAGGAGGCACTTCTATTTCTTGCTTTAGAAGAGGAACAAAATGCGCGGTAAGTTATGTTTATTTAAGGCCATTTGATAGTTGGGTATGTAT